TATACAAATGAAAAATGAACCTAGAGAGAAATCAGGGAAACAACATCCTTCAACAATAGCCACAGGTAACATAAAATATCTTCGAGTACCTAGAACCAGGTGGATGAAAGACCTGTGTGACAATAACTTCAAGCCTTTGAAGAAAGAAATTGGAAAAGATATCAGAAGATAGAAACATCTCCCAAGCTCACGAATTGGTAGGAATAACATAATAAAAATGGTCATTTTAACAAAAGTAATCTACAGATTCAATGCAATGCTCATCAAAATTCCAACCCACTTCTTTTCATACCAGGAGAGAACAATACTCAACATCATGTGGAAAAACCAAATAAATGAATTAATAAATGAATGAATGAATAAAAAAACAAACAAACAAACTCAGGATAGCAAAAGTAATCCTGTACAATAAAAAAACTTCTGGAGGTATCACCATCTCTGAATTCAAGCTATACTACAGAGATATAGTAATAAAAACCTCATGGTATTGGCATGAAAATAGACAAAATAGAAGATACACACACACACACACACACACACACACACTGACACACACACACACACGAACACACACACACACACACACACACACACGGACACACACACACACATGGACACACGGACACACGGACACACGGACACATGGACACGCGAACACAGACACAGACACACACACACGGATTCACATGGACACGGACATGGACACCTGGATTTTTTTTCTTATATAAAGAATCCAGAAACATAATAAGAAATAAAGAAAACAACCTCCTTCTGCATCCTTCTCTTCAACCCCCAGAGAACAGCCCATTACGTTTCCAGCTTTCAAGAGCCTTTCAGCTCAAACTCCAACATCCTTCCATAAACCTCACAAACAGTGATGTGTGCAGGGCCATCAGAGTGAAGCCCCACCCTCTGGTACCAAGCCTGACCTGAGTTTGCCTTCCTGCTGTGTGATGACACACTAAGCTGCTTGGAGAGAGGAAGGGTTTATCTGGCTTTCATTACAGGACAGGAGCCCAGAGCAGGAACCTGGAGGAAATTGAAGCAGAGACCATGGAGGAATACAGCTTCCTGACTTCCTCTCCATGATTGGTTCATCTGGCTTCCTCACATAACCCAGGACCACTTCCCTAGGATGTCACCACCCACAGAGGAATGACCCATTTCACATCAATTAGACAACAAGAAAAAGACCCACAGACACC